AGGAAAAAAATCACCCCCCTGCTGCTGGGACAGGGCTCAGGCATTGTGGGGCGCCCCCTCCGCACAGGGACTCAGGGCTGGCTGAGTGGTCCCTGCCCACAGCACAGGGCAGAGCCGCGGGTTGAGCTGCGTCACGGGGACGCTACATATGGGGATCTGCTGTCTCCATGTAGCCCGGTGCCACCTGGCACCCACCATGGGCCTAGCCTGGAACCTTTGCTTCCTAGGGGGTCCTGCGGGATGCCTGGTGCCTGGTGTCCTACTGGGTATTTGGGACACATTCAATTTGGGATCCAGTTTGGAATCTGGCAGAGCCGCGGGTTGAGCTGCGTCACGGGGACGCTACATATGGGGATCTGCTGTCTCCATGTAGCCCGGTGCCACCTGGCACCCACCATGGGCCTAGCCTGGAACCTTTGCTTCCTAGGGGGTCCTGCGGGATGCCTGGTGCCTGGTGTCCTACTGGGTATTTGGGACACATTCAATTTGGGATCCAGTTTGGAATCTGGGATGGGAAGGGGTGAAGGTCTGGGGTGGGGTCTGGTGGGAATGTGGGTTGGGACTGGGTGGGGAACTGCGATGGGAACAGGTGGGGCTCTGGGTTGGGATCTGGTACGGATCTGGGGTGGGGTCTGGTACGGATCTGGGGTGGGGTCTGGTACGGATCTGGGGTGGGGTCTGGTGGGAATGTGGGTTGGAATTGGGTGGGGAACTGGGATGGGGTCTGGTGGGGATCTGGGGTGGGGATCTAGCTGGGGTCTGTTGGGGATCTGGGTGGGTTCTGGCCGGGATGTAGATTTCTCACGCACACTGGCAGGAGGGCAGTCAGCGCGGTAACTCCAAGGGCAGCGCCAGCCCCGCAGCCATCAGCGCCGGGAGCCAGAGCCTGCTCCTGGAGGAGTTTGAGACCTACCACCCCGGCAGGTACGTCGCCACGGCCTCGGCGTCGCCACGGCCTCAGCGTTCCCAGAGAACGGGAAAGTCCACAGGGATGGGCCTGGCGTAAGCACCCGGACAGAGGGAGCCGCATCTCCTTGCTGCTTTCTCGGGGTTAACGAAGGGGTTTTCTCATGGCAGCAGGGAGCCCTCTCTGGGTTCATCTAGACGACAGGCATTTGTCAACAGAGGCTTTGTCGACAGATACTGTCAACAAAGCTTGTGTCGACAAAGAGTGTCTAGCAAGCCGCCTTGTCGACAAGAGAATGTAGACGCAAAGGACAGCGTA